ACTGCATTTTCCCCCTTCTCAATAGCCAAAGCCTAAATATGCAAAGCTGTTGTAGAATAAAACATGAATTTACACTATTTGTCCTGATAGTCTTTAAAGCAACTCTTTGAGTATCAGGTAGGTATCTCCCCTGAGCATTTTGGAGGCTCTTAGTTCTTGGTGTGTACTAAGTATTAAACTGGCTACCAAGTATACACCAAGTAGCCAGCTTGCTACTGGCTGTTCTACCACAGATCTTTTTGTCTGCTTTCATCCCCTTTTTTCTTTCAAGAAAAGGAGAAAGATCATTAGAGCAAATAAATTTGCTGTGCCCAACTTGCCGCAGCCAACTTGCCATGGGACAAGAGTTAGACTAACATCAAAGAAATAGTGGAATATAATAATTAAAGAAAGGATGTAAAAAGAGGGACAACATGAAATGTGAATGACAAAAATTAAAATATATTTATTTGTTTTAAGTAATTAAATTGAATTGTTAAATTGCCCCATGGCAAGTTGTCTCATGGTGAGTTGGCCATGTTATATTAAAAAATAATAATTTTATAACCTCATTATCTGTTCATTCAAAAGTACATTTTTTAAAAAACACCTGATTTAAATAAAAGTATTATAATAAGACTAAAAACTAAAAAGTATTACAATAAGACTAAAAATGAATGACAGCACAGAATACTATTGATATATTCTTTAAAAGAGGAAAATGAATACTTATCTCTATCTGTATATGCTATTTTTTAAAAAAGAATTTAATAAATAAGAACTTGGACAAATGTGACCATTTCTACTGTGCCTGATAGCATTTGGTATGAAGCAGTGGTGGGTTGCCCCCGGTCCGCACCGGTTCTATAGAACTGGTAGTAAAACCGGCAGGAGGCTCCGCCCACTGATCCCAACATCATCAAAATGCTTCTGCGTGCGGCCCCATTGCGAACCAGTAGTAAAGGTAAGTAGAACCCACCCCTGGTATGAAGGTAGAAGCAATTCTTAAGAAAGAAAGGATACCATCTCCCATTCAGCAGGTTTTCTAAACCACTTATTTACTGCTAATTCTTACTTTGAAGGACTTATGTGCATCTGCAAAATGATCACTCTAGATCAGATACATGGATGATGATGATAGTATGTTTTCCATAACCCACATAACACTAATACTCAGAAACACATCTGAAGCATTGCCAGCCGAATATAATTCCATTTAGTAACAGCTGTGCTCATAACTCACTGAATGTTAAAGTCTGACCTGGGGTTCCAGGCTTCCTACAATTATAGTAATTGAAGCAAATTAGGCAAATGGTTCTCTTTCTTAGTCCTTTTATTACATCATTCATTTTGCTTATTAGATGCAACAATTTCTTCCCACTGTTTGAATAGTTGATGTAAACTTACCTAAGGACAATGCCACAAGTTGGCTAGGTACTCTCTACCTTATGCAAAACTGGATAGCAAAATGAAAGCTGAAGAATATTAGTGACTAATTGATTGGAGAAAAGGAACCAAGAATAAAGGATCCATGTGAAGAATATACTGGAGAAGTATTTTCACCTGGAACTGAAAATTCAAAAGCCTTTTTCAGAGTCTTTAAATGTCATAGAAATCTATAAACATGCTATTAAAATAACAAGTATGTAATTTGCTTTTTGACAATCCAGGTATTATATACATAATGGTGAGGAGGAAGATATATAAACACATAGTTCCCAAGCGTGGTTTTTCCCCAACTCCACTTCCTTTTTCCTATCATAATTGGATAATTCAAACCCAAAATACTTTCATAAAAACTTAAGAGTAATTGATTGATTGCTATTATGTAAGACTAACAATGTCAGTCCAAAAAAATTTCAACTGAAAAACCAAAATGTCTGCATATTCTTCTGAAGTTAATGTATTTTATTACAGTTGGATTGAATGAAAAGTCAAAGCTGAGAATGTATGCCTTTAGTCAGAACATGCATTGACTTGGGGGATGGGGAGAAACTAGGAGGAGTCTAGAAGCATAATTAATGGATTGTCTCTGAGTAAACAGTTCTATTTTTATTATGCATTTTATAATGTTTATCACAATGTATCACAATGTACAATATAAATGGTAATTATTTTCATTATTTTTATTATTTCTATTTCTCAAAGAGATGAATTTGGTTGCAAAAAAAAAATACAAAGAATGTTATCTGATTGTTTCAAAAAGCAATAACACAGCACAGCAAACCAAAGCAGCAATATGTAACAGCTGCTTTTTATGAAACAGACACCAAAAATGTACACCTAAGGACCACAGATATTACCTTAGAAGAAATGCAGCAGTTAGCAAACCCTTCTAGCTACTTTCATTCAATGCAATGATCTTGACATTACTTTAGTTGGCTAGATCAAGAAATGGACTCCATAAGAAATACTGAAATTCTGCTTTATAGATATGAGCTATAACAAGAGAATCATGAAAGCCTTACAATGTTTTCCTTTCCTAGCTCTTACACCAAAGAGGGTCGCTCTAAGTTTCTTTCAAATGCCTTCTTCCTTCTTTGGGTTTAATTCATGTTTGGGTAACTGCCACATTCCTTCTCTGAGATAGTTTCGGTGGTTCTTCACAATAAGTGATGAAGTTGCATAGTGGATTTCTTATAAGTGAAAAAGGGAAATGTGTTTTAAAAGGTGTGGGGTCTTCCAAATAACAAATACTATATAATTCTTCCAAATAGCAAGATAGTTTTGTGTCAAAATTATAGTAATGCTGCCACTTTCTTGTACTACAACTGGTTTCTAAACTCAGCAGTCCTATTAGGAGATCCTTCCTGGTATGAACATTTTTGGTTCATCATGATCATCACATGATGAACGTCAATCAGTATTTATAAAAATCAATCTGAGCAGCATTTCTTGGATTCTTGATTGTAAACTTCATAGCCTTGACATGCTAACTACCACTCTCTAGACTTTCTGTAAAAGAAACGCCAAAGAAAGGGCAAGGGGGATATCCTTCTGGTATGACTCAAATTAGACAGTTTATTTAGCTAGTTTCCACCCACACTTGTCTTTGTTCTCAACTTGTTCTTAGTCTGCTCTGAAATTTTCCCAAACCAGATGGTACACAATTCCAAAAGATCCTGGAGTTGTGTCCATACAATAGCAAGGCCTTTCATCCTCCCTCCCTCCCTCCCTCCCTCCTTCCTTCCTTCCTTCATTCCTTCCTTCCTTCCTTCCTTCCTCCCCCCCTCCCTCCCTCCCTCCCTCCCCCCTGTAATTACCTGCCAAAATTATTATCCATCTTAATTCTTTCTAAGTTGTCAAATGAAACAAAATTAAGTTATACCAGTGTAGCAAAAAATCAAAGCCAACTAACAACAAAAGTTACCAATTTTAGTACATTCAGACATAAGACATCTCTATGAAACCCTTCCAATTTCATCAAGTTTTCAGCATGTTCAGTTTGCATATGTGTAGCCTTTAAGCTGAAAGTACTTCATATGGTAGCCTTGGATTACAACATCAATATACTACATATTGTAGTTAAAGGTCACATTAGACTGTAACAGCAAAATCAAACAACCACTGGTATCTTGCTTATCAGTTTTGACCATGGCAGTAGAACCCCATTCAGAATTGATGATAGAAAATCCCCGATCTAGAAAGCCCTAAACTCACTGTTACTCAGTCTCACCATACAAGCCCCATGGCTTTCAGACAGTATGAAAAAAAAAAGATGGCATCACTGGGTAAGCCTGGGTTTGAGATGTATAGCTAGATATCAGCATATAGATTATGTTTGGCCACAAGCCTTCTGATGACCTCAGCCAGGGGCTTCATGTAGAAATTAAATAAGAGCAGATATTCATTTATATTCACAGTTTGGCTGAGACACTAAGTACATCATCTATCTTTAAATGAGGCCATCAGTGTTTCTCAACCTTGGTGACTTTAAGTGAAGTGAACTTCAACTCCCAGAATTCCCCAGTCAGCCTTCTTAAAGTTGCCAAGGTTGAGAAACACTAGAGCTGATAGAATTTTTTGGTCCTTTCAGTACCAACTTTCACCATCAGGAGAGTCAGTTTGGTGTAGTGGCATCAGGCTAGAAACCAGGAAACCATGAGGTCTACATCTGAGTTGGACATAAAGCAGGAGGAGCATCATAGCTTCAGTATAACAGCTACTCCCCAGTCCTCTCTCTTCTTCTTCTTGTGCCATATCCGTCATCAGACGTTGGCGATCATGTTGGCGATCCTATTTTTATCAGCAGCCACACAAAAAAGTGCTGCTGAGTTTTGTCCAAACCAGTCCCTTAGATTTTTGAAGCCATGATGTTCTTCTCTCTAGCATCTAGCAATCAGGGATTTACTGCTATTGAATTTGGCGAGTCAGTGTTCATTCGGAACATCAGTATTACAAGCTGTGAGTTAATGTATTTATGACCCAGACAGAGTCATATGAAAGTGTGCAATGAGGAAAGGAGAGAGCTACTTAAGGGTTGGGACTGGATACCCTTTTCTGTGTTATAAATTTAACAGTGCTGCATCCTCAGAACTCACTTCAGAAAGAAAAGCTGATTTTGTTCAGTCCAGAGCTTTTCAAACAAAGCTATTAAACCCACCAGCACACAATTCCTCATCCTGGATTATGTTCACTTGTGTGGCTTTATTTTACTTTTCTTTTCTAATGTCTTCTCATTTTTCTTGGTCCTGTGGGACTCACTATAGGCAATACAGAGGTTTTTTTTGGGGGGGGGGGGACAGGAAATCTTGCTGACTTCCATAAGCCTTATCACACATACTACATATACACAAAGGTTTTGCCTCAGTTCTGTTCCCAGGAAACGGAGAGGCTTGATCGCACAGGCTGAAAAGTTCCCATTTAGCCTCTTTTTAACTCAAAAGGAAACATCTTACTTTTTAAAGAGGGGGCTGGGGAGCAAGGGGTGGGGGGGGGACTTCCCTATCTTGCATTTCGGCTTGAGCCGCTAGATGGCACTGAGTAGAATTTTCTCCTGCTTTGTTTTGTTAAAGCTCTAGCCTGGAGATCCAAAGAGCCACTCGCCTGAAATTGAGTAGAATTCATTGAAACTGCAGGCTTTCGTGACGTGTCCCTGAGTGGTCCATTACTTCTCTCTCTGCCAGCGCTCGGTTCTTCTGGCTCGCTCCACTCCAATCTTTCCCGTTCCTGGCGGCGACTCCCGCTGAACTCTGCCTGGGCAAAGCGGGCACCAGTTCAATTCGCCTCGTGTGCCCCGGTCGGCTTCTCGTGGGGAAAACCAAGCTGATTGATTGGAGCCAAGATTTCGGCAGAGGATGGAAGCTCCCAATAGCAGCGCTGGGTCCCTGTAAAAGCCGAAGATTCTTTCTTCTCGTTTCCTTTTGTTTCTGTTTCTTTCTTAATTTTAACTATTTCATCTTCCATTCTTGAGCGACAGATGAGCCTGCTCTGTTCCGAAGGAGAAAAATCATGATCGAGTGAGTGAAAACGTGCAGCAAACAGGTATCTCCGTGCAGTTTATTCCGATCTTGTGCATGTTTAAGAGAAATGCACCTTTTGTTCCTGCAACCCTCAACTTGTCATAGTGCACGTCGAAGTATATCCGATCTCAAAGTTATGTTTTTAGGGAAAGGGATGACAGTTACATAACGAAGAAAGCGATCAATTTCCTACTTCTTTATTGACAATTAAAAGGATGGGGATGGGGGTGCATGAGAGGCATTTGACCAATTGCGATTTCTAACATGTTTCTTCCTTTGTTTGGGAAGCCACGCATGTTAACCGAAAACAACTGCGTGAAACGGGGTGTGTGCCGGCGGGTGTGTGTACTCCTATCTGTTGTTCTGCTCCTGGGGAAATCAATAGTTCCGATCACTGAACTCCGAGCTTGGCGTTACTGTTTATCAGAAAGAGAGGAGGAATCTTGGCTGATTTCTGTCCCCCAGACCCAGCATGCACGTGGAGGGTGAGAGAAGGGAACTAACCATTAGAAAATAAATGCATATAGTTCCGGGTCCGTCAAACTTGTGGTTTTTGACAAAGCCTCTTGGCTTGTATTTGGCTTGCATGCATACAAAATTAAACAGATGTTGTGCATTTTGGTAATGTAATAGAGGGGGTGTTTCAGATCCTCTTCATTGTTATTTACTTTAAAATAAAGAACAAGTAATTATGATAATTTACAAGCTGTGAGGTAGATAAGTACGTAAATTAAATTTTATGCAGGGGATAGGGGAACAAGTAATGATGCAAATAATGCCAATAATGTCCCTTAGGTAGGGAAGTGTTTCCACATGCAGCCTATACTAGAAAAGATAAGGTTGGGAATGCCACTTTTATTCTGACTAAAGCTAGTGGTCAAATTTTGTTTGATTTCAGCAGCATTGCCAGGCACCCTGAACTTGTATTGTAGCAGAGTGACAGTTAAACAGTGGGAGAAACATTAAGGAACTAGCAAAGTATGGCACTGTGACGTAATGACATATAATCATGCCAACCTTAATCCTTTCTGAATCTTTCAAAGAGGAATTGCATAGGGCTGCAAGCTAGAAGAGTGTTCAGGCTAATGAGGTAGTGCCTAATTTGTCTTGCTCTTAGGAACAGAGCTCACTATCACCATGGCGACCCAGGAATATTAACTTCAGTTCCATGGAACATAGTAAGGACAGGAAATCTTTACTGAGAGCAAATGATGGGGGAATGATGAAATGTTTGCCATCCATAATTTTATAGACACCAACTTCACGATTTAGGGACTATATAATAATAGGATCAAATGGGTAATAGGATCAAAACAATCATTAGATATCCTGCCCTCAAGCAAACATAGCAGCGATAAACCAAGCATCAGCACCATGGACAGTGCCAAAAGGAGGTAGCTGTTTGGGTTGGCATACTGTAATTCAATTGCGCATTTCAGACCTGACATTTTCCTAACACTGTACGGTAAATGTGTAAATTTCAAAGTAAGTACTCATAGGAAATATTTGGCTTATTGCATCTTGTATATGTAGTTTTTAATACACCACTTTAATATAAAGTGATGTAAAGTGATGTAATATCAGCTGAAACGAACAGTCACTTAAATATCTGACAAATCAAAACCCCATGAAGCAGAGTTTTTAACAGTGTTAGAAAGATAATTCAGTTGTTCAATGCTAACTTTTTTTAGATACCTTCTAGCTCTTAAGAAACTGCTTCATTGCATACACTATGATCACCTAAACCAGTGTACATGAAAGCAATGTTCTCTGGTCCAATCAAGAAATTAAAAAACGATCATTTCTATTATCAGAACTGTATAATTTTTTTCTTTATCTTTGGTAATGGTCATATGCAGCATTGCTAGTGAGATGTTGCTACAACTGGAGAACGATAGGGCCAGGGTAGACAGAAAATGGATCGGAATCAGTTAGACACTTTATTGGGAGGTTGGCAAGGACTGGACATTCCAAGTTATTTAACACTTTAGCAGAAAGGTATCTCTACTCCTCTTAAAACCTCAATTGTATACTACTGAAATAAAGAACACTTGGGAGAACTACGAGTGAATTTTGTGCATGAAATTTGTGAAAATTGTCCACTGTTATATTCAAAACAAATTTCTGAGCTATGAATTCTTCAGTACTTAATGTTTCCCACATTATCCTCACATTTGTTTGTTTATAATATTTAAATTGTGTCTTTCCTCCAGGAGGAACTTTTTATTACTGGTTGCTTTCTGAGTCCACTTGAATGTATTCAATGGTGTATATAATGTTATCAGTCTAAAGTTAAGCTACTTACAAAACCTATTAAGTATTTCTCTACAGTCCAACCCATAATCTTGAACAGTCAGTAGGACGTCTTTTGCAGATCCAGCTATGGATATGCTCAAATTTGGTGATCAGCTGAGATTTCTCTGTCTCAGGACCCATTTTATAGAATTACCACTGGAATTGAAGCAAGCCTCAAATTTAGGACGGTATTTAAAACCAGTGTACACTATTTCAGATTCAATTCCACAAGTACTTTTGATTAATAACATAGAACTCTTTAAATCAGTGATATATTTTTCTAGGATCATGTGATTGCCAGCTATTGTGCGATCCAAGTAATAAGCACAACTGCATTAAGGAGTTGCAGACAAACGCTATTATCATCCTCCTGCAAGCTCTAAATTTACCATGTTGGAACCGAAAGAGAAATGCTGCACAGTACTACCCAAAATATTTATTATCTGAGACCAATGTTACTGTTTTAACTTTTGTCCTTTATATCTATTATGATTAGTTTATTGTTTTGTTTTTTAAAGAAAGATAGTGAGGTTTTAATGTGTTTAGCAGGTTTCTCATAGTCATTAAGAGAGTAGGTGACATAAATGTTTTCTATAAAAGTAAATATGTCAGGCTCACTTGGTGGATGTCAAAATGCTAGTAAAAAATAAAGAAAATCCTGTGAATTGGAAATCTGTCCATCCCTGAGTGAGTAAAAACTTGATTGCCATTTTAGGTTAATTTCTCTGTTCTGCAGATGAGATGGGATTTCTATCCTAAATATGTCCCGTATTCATATTAACCTACCAAAATTAAAAACCATGAGCAAACAAACATTTGCCATAGATGAGTCCTAAAGGATGAAGACAAAACATGACATCTAGATTACCGAAGCAAAAACACAGTGATGGGCAGGAGATGCACTAATTACACATTACAAAGTGACACTTTCTTTAGATATAAAAAGTAAATATAAAAATATTTTGAAATAATAAAAAATACTTATAGCTCGGGTTTTAGATTTTGGCAGTGGTTTGCTCTCAAAGCTTGTTTCAATTTAGTTTCTGAACATTTCGTTACCAGACTAGGTAACATCATCAGCGGGATTTTCTTGTCCTCTTCTCCTTAGCTTATAAATGTCTTGTGGCAAATGACATCTGGCACACAAGACATTTATAAGCTAAGGAGAAGAGGACAAGAAAATCCTGCTGATGATGACGTTACTTTCCTAGTCTGGTAATGAAACATTTAGAAACTAAATTGAAACAAGCTTGGAGAGCAAACCACTGCCAAAATCTAAAAATATTTTATATTCTTTTTTAAGATACATTCTAGAAAATATGGACAAGACTAGGCAATGAAATAAGGAATTTTAGAGGTTACCACCAGTCTTTCCACTTGTGACTTTTTTTGGTCGATTTCTGGACCTAACTTTTTGATTCAGCCATCCTATGTTCATATTACACTGGACTTAAAGATACATCATAGCTGCCCAGTGGAATAGCTAAAGAATCTAATATATGCTAGTCTAAGAGCAGAAAAAGAAAAACACACAAATAAAAAGTTTCAAAATGCCATAAAAACTCACATACCAAATCTAGGAACATCATCACACAAATTAGGGATTGTGTTGGCAGTGGGACCAGCATGCTACCCACACTGAGAAGAAGTGATGACTCATTGATATATTCATCAATGCCAAAGCAGATGGGTCTAGGGGGATACTCTGAAGACCACAGCAGCAGTTGCATGTTACAGTACATTTTCTCTTATTCTTGTTTAGACTTAGAGAATAATCTGCTTTGTCAGTACCAGAATAAAATTTGGGGGATTTGTATCTATAGAGTTTCTAGGTGACATATCTGCAGATATATTGTCAAACTAAGCTGCTTTGCATGGAAAACTAAGCAAAGATTGTATGCAACCTTTGGTTGCCAGATTCTCTTAGTTCTGCATCTGTGAATTGTATTATGGGACTTGAGAGTTATAGTTGCATACTATGTCAGTTTATTATTTATTTATTCTGTTTTTATACCACTTTCTATTCAAATTATCCTAAAGTTAAAGCAACAAATCCATATTTATTTAAAATGGATGGAAGTAAAACAAAATACATGTCCATCCAATAGATATACAAGAAAAGCTTTGATGCACAAAAGGGTCTTCCAGAGATGCCTAAAAGATGCCATAGCAAGTACTTGTGCCCATTAAGAATCAGGGGTTGGGCTTGTTTCAAAGGAGACAATATATTTTTATCATGTATTTTAGTGAAGAGACTATTCTGAAAAACAGAAGAAGGGATGATATCCTACAGTTCTCCTCAGATGATCTCGGCAATTAATCATATCTGTACAGAGAAGGAGTTCTATCAGATATTTCAGCCCCAAATTGTTGGGGCCATATGTCAGAAGCAAGACTTTGAACTGGGCTCAGTAGCTAATTGGCAACCAGTGCAGTTGCTACAACACATGTGTAACATGGGCACAGCCGTTGTCCCTTTCAGCAGTTTAACAGCTACATGCTGCTACAGCTTTTAACTAAGTACTGGGTAGCTTTTTGGAATGCGTTGCAACAAACTCAAAATGAGGTTACCAATGTGCAGACAATCATCTTTCTTGTGTAAAGCTCTATACGGGTGATATTGTGCAGTGATTAAATGACGCTGATTATATGATTACATGATATCTGATGTTCAGTCACAGCAGTATGAAGAAAGTAGCTGGACTGGCTTTTTTCATTTTCCAGTAA